TTTTTTTTTTTTTTTTTGGTACTGGGGATCAAACTCGGGTCCTCCTGCTTTCAAGGCAGGCGGTGGAACCACTAAGCTAAATCCCTGGCCCTTCATTGTACTATGATCTGATAATACACCTGAGATAATTTCAATTCTTTTGTATTTATTTAAGCAGGCTTTATGAACTAGTCGGTGGTCTATTTTGGACAAAGTTCCAACGTGCTTCTGAGAAGAATGTGCTGTTGTAGTAGAACACTCTACAGATATCTACTAAGCCCATTTGTTTGAAGATGTGGTTCAGATCTGATATTTCTTTATTTGGTTGATCTTCTATTTGTAAAAGTTGGGCATTGAAGTCACCTACTATGATTATGTTGGTGTTTATTTGATCTTTTATGTCCAATACTGTTTGTTTTATGAAGATGGGCATGCCAGTGTGTGGTGTATATATATTTAAAATTGTTATCCTTTCCTGTTGTATTGTTCCCTTAACTAATATGTAATGACCTTCTTTGCCTGTGCTGATCAGTTTTAGCTTGAAATTCATTTTGTCTGAGAATAAGATTGCTACCCTTACTTGCTTTCAGGGTCTTGGTGCATGGAAAATTATTTCCCAGACTCTTGATTTTTAGTCTATGAATTTTATTTTGGATTAGATGTGCCTCTGTATGAAGCAAACTGCTGAGGTGGTTTATTGTTTTGATTTTTGTTTTTTTGAGACAGGGTATCACTACGTAGTTCAGGCTGGCCTTGAACTCACTATGTAGCCCAGGCTGGCCTGAAATTCTTAGTGATCTTCCTGCCTCAGTCTCCTGAGTGCTGACATTATAGCCATGAGCCATGCACCCAGCTTGACTTTTGTTTTTTAATCCAGTCTGCAAATCTGTGTCTTGTAGCTGGGGAGTTGAGGCAATTTACACTGAGAGTTATTTCTCAGGTATAGACTTGTTTATGTCATAGTGTTATTTTTCTGTTGTTGATTCCTTTATTTTTCCTTTTAATTTAACTGCTCAGCTTTTGGACAGCAAAGAAACAATCAAAGTGAAAAGATAACCTACAAAATGGGGAAAAATTTTTGCTAGCTACACCTCTGACAGAGGACTAATATCTAGAATTTAGGAAAAAACCCAGACCTCTCCCCAAAAGACCCAAGCAAAAAATGGGCAACTGAAATGAACAGATACTTCTCAGAAGGAGGAGTACAAAGGACCAATAAAAATATGAAAAAATGCTCAACATCTCTGCCTACTAGAGAAATGCAAATTAAAACAACACTGAGAGTCCATTTTACTCCAGAGAGAATGACTATCACCAAAAAAATCAAATAATAGCAAATGCTAGCAAGGCTGTGGGGGAAGAGGCACTCTTCTACACTGTTGGTGGGAATGTATACTGGTACAACCATTATGGAAATCAGTATGGAGATTCCTCAAAAAACCTAAAACTAGAAATTACATTCAATCCAGCTATTTATTTTATAGATACCTTCTCAAAAGAGTTAATGACATCATATCAGTGATAACATAAATACCCATGTTTAGAGCACCAAAACTCATAATAACTAAATCTTGGAAGTAGCCCATATGTCCATCAACAGATAAATGGATAAAAAATGTGTTATTTATACATAATGGAGTATTACTGTGCAGTAAAGGGGAATAAATTTGAGTTATGTGCAGGCAAATGGATGTACCTTGAGACCACAATTTTAAGTGAAATAAATCAGACACACAATCTTTTTTTTGGTACTGGGGATCAAACTCAGGTCCTTGTGCTTGTGCAGCAGGCGGCGAAATCACTGAGCTAAATCCCCGGCCCCTTGACACACAATCTTAATATCACATACCTTCTCTTATATGAGAAACTCAAAGTATAAAACATAAAAAAGATAAGGCCATAGGAAACAGGGAGATAGTTGTTTTACAAATGGGAAAGAGATCCAGAGAGGGGGGGAGAGAGGAGAGAGGAAGGGGATATGTTAAGTACATGTATCTATTCCTTAATATGTGTGTAAACATTATGCACTGCAAATCTAGGCTAATAAAGGAAAAAGTCAAAGTACTTGCAATGGTCCCCCAAACCCCACCACCTGGATCCTTTATCTGTCTGACTTCTTCTTATTTTTATTATTACCCCCATTATCATCATCATTACAGAGTCAGTGATGGAACAACACGGAGGTGGAAGCTGAGGACAGTCAGGAATGGTGTTTACATGCTAAGAAGTATTGGATGTTACAAGTTTGGGTGCGGGTATTGGGGTGGAGAGACTGACTGAAAGACATTGAGAAAGACAGATGGAAACCAGCCCCTCCTATCCAAGAGATGAATCCCAGTGATTCAAGGCAGTGCCAAGTGGGAGGACCTAGGGCCTCCAAAGAAAGAAGCAGTCACACTTGCTAGGCAGGGATAAGAGCAAGGGAGGATGCCCAGGTTGCTTCCAGAGCTGGGACTGGGGGCAAGGGCCATGGTGCCAACTGTTGGCTCCTGACTTTGAGCTGACCCCTCTTCCCTTGCCAGGGCAGCCTGGCCCGGGGGGAGGGAGCATGTGGTGAGCTGGTGCAGCCCCTCCCCTCATGAGTGCCGTGAGCTCACACAGGCACACGCACGTGCCCCTTCAGGGCCAGGTAAACAGGATAGAGCCTGGGTCAGTGCCCTCCCTGGTCTCTCCCTCCCACTCTTCCCTGAGGTGGCTGGCCCGCCCAGCTCCCTGCTCTGAGCCCAGAGCAGCCTGGGTGCTGACTGAAACACACCAATGGTCAATACCAGGGCCTTGCCATTCTTTCCCTGATGCCTGGGGCCCCCATGGAGTTTTCCCCAGAGTTCCCGCACCTGAAACACTGCCCCACGGCTCCCAGAGTCTCTGCATGTTGGAAGGTGTGAGGGCAGTCACCATTAGGTGACAGTGTGGAAAGGAGACAGATGAGAGCTGTGAGGCCAACTGAAACCGAGAAAGGCCACAAGAGGGCCCCTGCTCCCCACCTTGTGCCCCCAACTCATGTTGGCTTACACTGGGGCCTAGGGCTGGTCCTGTTCAGTGGGCTTCCTTCTCCTTGTTCCACTGCTAGGGTCTTGCCTGCAACACCTCTCTCCTAAGTCCTCTCACCCCACCGCTTCCAGGAGACACTAACACCTATCACTTCGCGTGGCCCATCCCCACCCTGCGCCCCAAATTCCTGGGGTTGGGCAACTAGAACACCTTTGTGTCCATCTCATCACAGTTCTCCCTCCCTCAGTGATGCATGGCTCCCTCTCTGTTTCAACACAGGCTCACAATTACAGCTCATTACCCTATCAGGTAGCTTGGCCCTGAGTCACTAGGGGAGGGACCCTGGGCTGCCCAGCCCTGTCACCTTCTCCCAACCAACAGTATAAGGAGTAGTGACAGGGAGGAGGACTCAGGGGTGTCTGGGAAAGAAGAGAGAGAGCAAGAGAGGGAGGAGGCAGGAGGGTACACAGAGCAGAGGAAGAAGAAGGGTCACAAGAAGTAGACTGAGTTGTGAAGAAGACTCTCCAGAGAAAGAGGGAGCTGGGCAGAGATGAAGCTTAGGGTGTCTCTTGCCAGCCTCCTGCTGGCCCTGTGCCTGGGCAGTGGGGCAGCTGGTCCACTGCAGGGTCCTGGGACAGGACCTGGACAAGGGATGGGAGATACTGTTGGCAATGGAGTTGGAAAGGCCATTGGTGAAGGAGCTAAAGAGGCAGTCAGGTCTGGAATTGAGGATGCCATTGGCCAAGGGAATGGAGAAGCCAGCTCTGCATTCAGGGAGGCCAGAGGAGACGCACTCAGCAATAAGCTTGGGGAAGCAGCCCATGCTCTTGAAAACACTGGGAGGGAGGTTGGCAGACAGGCTGAGAACTTCATTCGACATGGAACGGATGCTGCTCACAACTTCGATTCTTGGGTGAGTGGCTAGGAAGCTGGGTGTGGAAATGGGAGGCTATGGGGAGGCTCAGTTGAGAATCATGGGTAAGGATGAATGGGAAATTGTTAAAAGGATGAATGGGGCTCTTGTGTGGCTGTCTGGGGGCAGTTTCCTTCCCTGTGATGCAGCCTTCCTTTGCTACTGCGGGGTCTCTGCCGTGGGCCTCTCTGTCTGCTCTGGCTCCTCTCTAACTTTGGGTTGCTCTGGCTTCCTCCCCCATCAGAGTCAGGGACAGTCACACCAAGTGCAGGTGTGTTGTCCTTGCAGGGAACATCTGGAGGACACGGCATGTTTGGTAACACTGGAGGCCAGGGCCAGGGAAATTTTGGAGGTCCAGGGTCTCCCTGGGGCCATGCACAACCTGGAGACTCAGAAGGCAGCTTTGGAACCAACTCCCTGGGAGCCTCCTGGGGGCAGGGAGGCAATGGAAGATCCCTGAACCTTGAGACCAATGCTCAGGTAAAGTAGCCACCCAGCCCTGATACCTGGCCCGCCTGCTCTTCACGCCCCACTCTCCACACCTCCCTGGTCCTTCCATATCTCACACTGAGTCTCACCCTCCCTGCAGGGTTCTGCAGCCCAGCCGGGCTATGCTTCGGTGAGAGGCAGCAGGCAAAATTCAGGGGTAAGAGCCAGAGTCTGGGGACAGAGTGGTTGTCTGCATGTGTGTGACGGAAAGTAGGGGAGAGACAAAGGGGAAAGAAAGAGGGAGAAGAGGGATCAGGATAAGAGGAAGACTGGCCTGGGAAGAGATGGGTGTGGTGGGAAACTAGCAAATGAGAGGGAGGAGGGGAAAGGAACCAGGCCACCAGGAAGGGGGAGTGGCTTGTGGAGATGGCTTTGACAGAGACCTCTAAACCCAATGGCGGCCTTTTCTCCACAGTGCATCAACGCCCCACCATCTGGCTCCGGTGGAAGCTCTAGCTACTCCAGGGTAAAAGGAGGGCAGGCTGTGGTGATCTGCACTGGGGGGAATGGGACGCTGCTCCTCATAGGCTGGGTAGAGAATATGCCCTGGCAGGAGAGCAAGGGGAGGAGAGACACAATCCTGGTCCCTCATCCTCATCCTCACTCCGTTCTGCTCCACAGGAAAGCAGCAGCCAGAGTGGTGGCCCTGGTGGCAGCAGTGGTGGCCCTGGTGGCAGCAGTGGAAGCAATTCTGGGTCCAGCCACGTAAGTTCTGCTCCTTGGGGGAAGACAGGGATGGGTGAGGGTCCTGGTGGTCCCTGCATAGCAGATGGGCTCTGGGGTTTCCCTGGAAGCTGCTGCAGCCTCAGAGCAGGTGACATGACTGGCGGTTGTCACCATGGGGCTCCCTCAGCCTCTGCTCCCCACCTTCCCAGCCCCAGCCCAGGCTTTTTATAGTTTCCACAAGAGCTGCCCCACCTACTTCTGCCTACTCTTCCATCGTGGTGGGGAAGTTCTGCCTCCTTCCAACCTCTCCTCCTTGCCCACCCGGCAGGTCTAAGTAGAACTGGGGTGACAGAGGGAAGAAGAGGGGTGGATGCAGAAAAATAGGACACTCATTTGGGAAGCTCCCAGGAGGACAAGGTTAGGATTGCACGCATGCGTGGAAACTAGAGGGCGTTTACAGAGCTGAGGTGTAGATGACACTAATGACTACGGGGGACCCACAAGGGTTATGGGTAAGGAGGCAGGGGGCTGCTTTAGAGGAGAGCTCCAAGGGAGGGGTGCTAAAGACAGGGCACCCCGTGGGCTCCTTGGGGACTGGGAATGTTGTCTGCCCGGAGGAGGCAAGTGATCATGACAAGTACAAAGAATGAGCTTCCTTAGTTTGCTGCTCCTTACACCACCGTCTTCCCCCCATTTAGGGCACAGAAACTTCTAAGGATTTTGATCAACCCTTTTCAGTCTCTAAGGTAAGGACACCTCAAGGAGTCCCTTCTGCTTACTATGATCCAGCAAATGGTCCACGTGCAAGTACTTTGAAGATGATATACGAACTCTTGCTTTCTTTTCCTCAAAGGAATCCAATTCTGATAGTTCCTCAGGCAGCAGAGATGCAAGTGGTGGTGGAAACAATCCTGAGGTCAGTAACTGGGGAGCCCCCAGGGGCCCAGATTTCCTTCCAGCCAGGGGAAGCAAATGCAGAGGGGTCAGCCCTTGCAGCCTGGTGTGTGGGGGCCCTTTGATAATGGAAGGATTGCTGCTGCAGAGGAGCTGGTTACAGTGCTGTCCTCTGGGGGATGACACTGGTGTTCAGGAGGAGGCTGAGCGAGTCTTACCTATCTCTTTCCCACAGTGTGACCACCCACAGAATGAAGGCCGCATAGCCGGAGGATCTGAGAGTGAGGTGAGAACCAAACTGCCCATTCTCAGGAGTCTAATCTGCTCAGCCCCATTCCTGATAAGCGATTCCATCCAACCCACCTGGGGAGAGCCTGACAATTTAGGTGGGAGAAACCAAATGTGTACTCCTAAAAATAGTCTCCAAAGTAATAGTGGAAATCCCTATGCTATGCCTCACTGTGTACCGCAGACAGGGCCAGGAAGAATCCTATGTAAACCAGTGCTTTTAGAAACCTAGTCATTTCAAATGTCCCATGCCAGGCCATGAACAGAGCACAGAAGTGTTCTGGAAAGTACATTTCCTCACAGTTATTCCAAAACCCTGGGCATTAGGTGTCAGTCCTTGTGATGCTGACAGAGCAAGTGTGACACTCCTGTCCACACCTAGAGGTCTTGTGCAAAAAGCAAGTTCTGATTCAGCAGGCCTGGGGTGGGGCTGAGATTCTGCATTTCTTACCAGGAATCTGGGGAGGCTGTGGCTACTGGGCTGCACACTGGTGGCAGCCAGAATGTTAAGAAATATTCTCTCAGTTTGTTTCTAGTAGTATACACCAGAATCTTAAGTACATAGGGCATCAAAACTATCAGTCTCCAAGTCAAGCATAGTGGCACATGCTTGTAATTCCAGCACCCAGGAGGCCAAGGCATGAGGACTGCCACAAGTTTGAGGCCAGCATCAGCTATATAGGGAGTCTGAGGCCAGCCTGAACTGCATAGTGAGACCCTGTCTCAAAAAATAAACCAACAATTCCACTCCTCCCCAAAATATCAATCTTTTTCCTCTGTGGTTTCTGCTCTTAGTATCTTACTGTAAATGTCTTTATTCTCTTCAACTATTACAAATACTTACATAATTTCAATTTTGAAAACATAGCTCTTTAATCCATCTGGACTTAATTTTGCTGTTTAGTCTAGCCCTGCTCCCTGAACGAATTACAATTATGCTACACTTCAGATCAGAGCTGGGTGCTCCTTTGCTTTGGGAAAACCAGTTAAAACCACAGGGAAGAAATTGATGTGGTGCATCGCTAGTATTTTCCCCCAAATACTTAACTGGTATTTCCAGTCCTGAGTATTGAATCATTTCCACCGCTGACTTAAAATGCCGCTTGTGGATACTTTCCTATCTGGCCGGAGCTTCTGCAAGTTTTGTTTTGCTAAATGGATCCATCCATTGTGGCACAAATACCATCACTTTATTTATAGTAGCATATGGTACATTAATATCTACCAGTACAAGTCCCTCCTTGCCACTGATCTTTTCCAGCATTTGTTTAAAACTATTCCTAGACCTTTATCCTTCCAGATGAATTTCAAAATTATTTTGACAAGTTCTCAAAGCGAATTCCATTAGGATTTGTGGAGGACTCATATGAAATCCATACATACATTTTTTGTAGATGGCTCCAGGATCTAGAACAGGGATCTGTGTTTCACTATTTTATCCCCTGGGGCTTCAGCAGAGGACAAGGGGACCCCAGTGATCCTGGGGACAGCAGGGTAGGGGAACAGTAGGCCTTGAGAGTAGAGACTGTGCCCACAGTGAGTGGGATGGAGGTTAACTCTCCAGTAGCAAAGCTAACTGAGCACTTAGCCTGACAGCAGAGCAGCTAACTACCTCTGTGAATGAGGAAGGGCTGATGCAGGAGCTTACCTCTGACTCAAGAGAAGACTAACTAACCAGACTATTTCTGGCCACCTTGGCTCCTGTTGACAGGCCAGCTGGCATCCACTTTTTGCTAAATGCAGCCATAAGCCCAGCTGGGGGCCTCCAGTTTGGGTCATTTCAGGTCAACAGTATGGCTTGCATCTGATTCCAAACCAAGGGAGAATTCAGATGCTTTGGTGCTAAAGGCCTTCCTGCTAGAGTTTGGACAGCTTGCAGAGACAAATATAAACAGAGATGGTGACATTCTTTATAAACGGCATAAGTCCACATTGTAAGCTGGTCCATCAAAGGAGGAGGTTGAAACAAGATCTGCCAGGCAGGATGGAGCCCTGGCATGTCCTTTCATGCCTCAGTACCCTGATTCTGAAATCCCTCATCTGCAACCTGCTATCTCGTCCTCTCCTCCCACTGACTTCTCCACTTTCTGTCTCCCCAGGAAAGCAGAGAGAACAGTCGCCTTGGGAGTTCCTACAGTAACTCTCGGGTGAGCCCAGGGACAGCAGGGGTGGCATTAGCAGAAGGGATGGTGGAGTGTGGGCAGAAAGCCAAGGGCTTGGGAAAAGAAACAGAAATACCAGTTTCTTCTTGTAAGCTGCTCTGAATCAGTGTCTGGTGACCATCAGCAGACAAAAATGACCATCTGGGATCTCCATTCCCCTCCTCCATTCATCCATACTCTCCTTCCTTTCAGTTGACATCAGAGCCATAGTTTCTTTGCAAGGGGGGAAAACTAGACAAAAATAACAGAGAAATGGCCAAGGAACTATTTGCAAAAAGCACACTTAAGAAGTCAGTGTTGAGAAGTGAAAATCACTGACCTTTGGCTTAGAAGATGGGGGTTCCAATGGCAGCTTGTCACTTGTCATCTGCGCATCTTCAGGCGAGTCAGTTAACCTCTCTGCACCTGGGTTTATTTGGATAAAATGGAGACAATGACACCTGACTGGCTCACTTTCCACAGTTACTTTTGAGCTTTCTATGTCAAAACTAGACTGAGGTGGTACAGAGTACAGGCATAAAGACAGATCCTGAGGCCAGCTGCTGGGCCTCTCTGAGTTCCAGTCCTCTCATCTGTAAGATGGAGTCATCTGTAAAGGAATATGGCAGAATGAGACACAGTGCCCTGCACACAGTGGGACAACAAATAGCCACTCTCATTAACAGTGGTGTTTTGGGGAGGCGAAAATATAAATAAAAGTCAAGGGACTGGGTAGGGCTACGTAGTTGCAATCATTCTGGGAGACATTCTTTTTGAGGTGGGAATTTTAGGTGTCCTGCAAAGGAGGGAAATTGGATTGACATAGAGGAGCAGAAGAGCTTGAGCAACAGTGGAGATGAGAGGGCCAGAGCATGTATGACAGGCTGCAACTGTCTTGAACATCAGTCTCCCCTTTCCCCACCAGGGGCACGGATCCAGTGGGGACAGCAAAGGAGATGAAGGAGTCAATGAGCTCAACTCTGTGGTGAGTGGTGTCACTGCACCTTGGGTTGCGACCATGGGGTCAAGCATTCTTTATATCCCTCTTGACATCTCCCCACATTGCCTGCCCACGCCGCTTGCTCACAAAGTACCTTCTTAAATTCATCCCATTTCTCATCTGTTCCTCAGAACTCTGAGACATCTCCTGGAGTCTTCAACTTTGACAATTTCTGGAAGGTGAGTTCTGTCAGATAGCTCTGCTCACTCTCCTTGGGAAAGCCAGCCCCTGTCCCTTGGCTCTCCAGGCTGAAATCCTCTGTACTGACAGGCAGAAGAGACGTTGTCCCTCTCCCAGCCTGAGGCCCTGGGCCAATTACATTATGACTCAATATGGACATTCTTTATGTTTTCTTTGCAGAATTTTAAATCCAAGCTGGGTTTCATTAACTGGGATGCCATAAACAAGGTAAGTTCTGACAGGCTGTGCAATCCTGATCTTAATGGGGGAGGAATATAGGGAGGAAAGCTATACCTCTGGCTGGTGAGCCAGGGGAACAATAATTATGGCCAATAAGATGGTATTTAGGCCAGTACTAAAACCAAAACCGACATACAAACTGAGACCTGAAAAGAGATGCAGAATCTGGGAACAACTGGGAGCTGGAGATGAGTGGAGGAGATGAGCCTCTTTAATGCCTCAACATATAGATCTGAGCAGGTTAGGAATATCAGTTTTTGCTTTGGAAGGTTAAGGGAACAGCCTGATTCTAGGGCAGTGATGGCAAACCTTTTAGAGCTTTCAGGGATACAGCCAACTGCAGCACGCATGCCATAGGTTCGTCACCACTGTCCTAGGGGATAGATAGACTGAATGAGGACTCAGTGGAGCTCAAAGGCCACATGAGGACTGACACACCCTGGGGAAGAAGGGGAAAGGACCTGGAGAATTGCAGAGTGCCTGATGGGTGACAGGCATTACTCTGGGCCCTCTACACATGTAATCTTAGGAGACAGCTGGGTTGGAGACCCCTTCTCCCTTTCCTCCCTGCCCATGCCTCCCTCTCACAGGGGAGCCCTCAGCCAGCCTGATTTGACACCAGAACAGCAGAGCTGATGGGGCTGGGCTGGCACAGATGGCTGAAGGGCAAATGTACGATCCAAACCACTTCCCCAGGCAGAAGCTGTGAAATGTGGTCCACTGTGCTTTGTTTGAGCCTCTCTTTTTTTTTTTTTTTTTTTTTTAAAGAATATGAATTTGTTGCTAAAGTATAAAAATTGAGAGACTTTTAGCTGGGTACAGTGGCACATGCCTGTAATCTCAGCACTTCTGGGGCTGAGGCAGGAGGGTCACCAGTTCGAGTCTCACCTGGGCAACATAGCAAGACTCATGTCTCAAAATAACGTGCAAAGGCTCTGGGTTCAAATCCCAGCATGAAAGACATAGAGAGATGAGAGATGAGATGAGGGAGAGAGAGATGAATGTTTAGATACCTGGTTTCTTAAAAATTTGGCACCCTGAACCCCACTTTCATGGGGCAGTGGATGGGGCTGAGTGGCAGCTGCCTTTTGCCCTGGGCCCACACTACACTTACCCCGCCCATCAATCATTCCTGCCACCGGAGTGGCCTCTGCAAGCTGCTGAGGTTCTACCCTCAGTATGAGAATGAAGGCAAGGACCCCTGCCCTCCCTAACCCTGTGTGTGGTCTTTATGGGAGAAACGGGTGGTGGTAGACGGGCAGGCAACCTGACCCACATTTCAGGAAAAGCAAAGTCTAACCTCTGGAAATGATGGGGATGAGAGGGATCAAAAGGTCCCAGTGAGGGAGCAAAACAAACTCTCTTTTACAGAGATCAGTTTCTGGCAGGGGCAAGGTCCTTGCTGTGGACCTTGGGGGCACTTAGAGCCTGATGGAAAGACCAGGGCACACATGGGTGCCTCCCAGAATGCCAGGACAGATGGCTAAGCACTTCTGCCATCTCTGGGGCAGGAAGAGAATGATTACCGTTGGCTTCCAGAAGGACAGATCTGGTAAAAAATGGGATGAAGGAGAAGTGTGGAGCTTTGCTCTCCTTCACAGCTGGGTTGAGGGAGTTGAGGACTCAGCCAGAGACAGGTGTGAGGAGGGGAACTCTAGGTAACACTCCTGGCGAGGCAGGGGCTTCTCAAGTCCTAGATGACAGAGGTGGGCTACCAAGTCCCTGTAGATTTCCCAAGCAGGGGTGGATGCTCCATGCCTTGGCCCATGCCTCCCCCAAATCCCTACAGCTCAAGCTCCCTCATAGAGCCTATTTCTTTGCCCAGGACGAAAGGAGCTTTCGAAACCCGTGACCTCCAGGCAAGGAGCTACCAGCTGGATGGGAGGTCCCACTCCCTCTCTAAAGAGCTCCTCCCTCACCCTTAATCTTGTCCCTCACCCCTAAATCTGGTCCCATGCCCCTGAAATAAATCTCAGCTGCCCCATATGCTGGTCTCTGCTCCTTTTTTTCCGTCTCGGCTGTTGTTCCCAGGAGTTGGGAGGAGTGGTCGCAGCCCCACAGCTTTGGGTGTTGTGCTGGAGGTCCATTGGCAGCTGAAAAGGTGGGAGGCTGGGGACAGGTTCTGGTCCAAGGTTTTGCTAGTTATGTTGCCTCCGGAAGGGGCTGGAAGGGAAGATGTCCAGTGTGCTGGGAGGGTGGGCTGGTCAACGGCTCAGAGAGCTAACCTCTCTCCATTTCCAAAGTATTTCCTGGTATCCTTAGAGACTCCTGGCTCCCCTCAGCATCCACCCCTCCGACCTTAACAGCAGGAAACAGCAGGAGTCTGGCTCGGGTGAGCAGGGGTGGGCTCCTTGCTAACCTGCTCCCTGCTTTTCATCCACAGGGCCAAGTCCTGTCCCCCAGCACCCGGGCCCTCCTCTACTTCCGAAGACTCTGGGAGGTAGGAGAATTCCTGCCTTTCAAAGAGTGATCCTGGCCAGCATGCCCTCCCCCCGCCAGCCAAGGCAGCTACCCTCAGCCCCAGCTGACCTGTCACAAAATTGACTCTCTTTTCATTTTTGAGATAGGTCATCTCTTCCTGATCTTTTGATTTTATTTGTAGATGTTTGTGATAAATAATAATTACACTTATCTTGGGATTACCCTAGTGTTATCATCAATGCCACCTCCAACCCAAACACTCTTGCCTCTCATTGCTTATCTTCACGGAGTCCGCAGATCCCACCCCTCTCCCAAGTCCTCTCCTCCAGTGGTCTGGAAACTCTCACACAGCGGGCAGTCACTTCCCACCCTGAGTTCCGGCTCCCTAGCCGCTCTTCTCTCCCTCTTCCTCCAGGATTTCAAACAAAAGACTCCTTTCTTCAACTGGAAAAAAATTACTGAGGTAAGGATTGAGGGGCAGAACTGGGGACTCGGGTCAGTCCCTTGGCAGGTGGCTTGCTGAGGCTGCTGTCTCGTTTTCTACTCCCTCTCCAGCTGCCTGCTGCTTTCATGCAATCTCGAGGGCGAGTGGGTTGGGAGGGTGGCCATGAGTCACTGAGAAGAGTGCAAGGGGGGAGGGCCTCCCTCCCCCCGATGAAAGCCCAGGCTCCAGGCTCGGGCTCCACAGGCACCGAATCATGAAGCGGGCCACTGTCTCTGCTCTGCTGCTGTCCCTGCAGGGCCTGGCCGGGCTAGGGGGGATGCCCAGCTGGGTGGGTACACAGGGTGAGCAGGTGGAGGGGGACAGAAAGAGACCTGGGGCTGGAAAAGGGGCACTGCGCAGCGCAGGGAAGCGGGGGCAGAGAGCACAGTACGCTGGGGGAGGGGTTCAGGCCAGGGTCAAGTGCACACAAGAGCAGGTCTGAATATGTGGGTCTTGGGAAGAATGAGCAGGATGTGGGTCCTGTAGAAGACCACGCCTCATTCTGCATGGCCACCGGCCTCTGGGAAGCAGGAGCCTTGGGCACTGCATGGATCAGGCGTGGGGGGCTGGAGCGGGGGAATCAAGGCCTTCTCCTCGTGTCATCACACACACATGCAGGACCTGCGTGGCTGTGTTGTCTGATTTTTCAAGAAAAGTTAGAAATCTGATTTTTAAATTTGTTGGGCGACTAATTTAATTTTTTAAAAAAGTCAGACCAAACAAAAACTGTCTAGAGGCTGATGGCCAAGCAGTCCGTGACCTCAGGGGTTAGGCCTCCATGTCAGGTGTGGACAAGGCGGAGGTTAAGTTAGACAGGGCTGGACCCTCACACTGGCAGAGCGAGGGTGTGAATGGTGGGGCCCTGGTAGAAAAGATGAGAGCTGAACTTCTCTCCAAAGGCTCAGAACTGCTCCTACCTTGCGGGGCGGGGGGCACTCCTTCCTCTGCTTCCTTGTATTTCCCCCTTTCCTTCCCTCCTTTGGCCGGGAGCTAATGCCTGTCCTTGCAAGGACCCTAGAGAATAGTGACTGTGTTCGGGGCTTACAGGGCCTGTGAGGGAGCAGCAGGGTTTGGTGTAGGCAAAGGGAGGCTGGGCTGAGGGGCCTGGGCTGGCCCAGAGCAGCCTGTGTGGGCTTCACCCTTTCGTCATTCTGTCACATCTCTGGCCAGAGCTAACAACGCACCAGGTGCACGGGTGGGGCTGGTGTTGCCCGACCTGCTTCTCCACCACTTCTCCGCTCCCACCTTCACTGTGGAAATCTGTGTCCTACATCTATCTGGGCCATAGTCTCCTCTAGGCCACTGTGCTTACCACGGACCATTAGAGGGGTGGGCTGGAGATGCCAGGGCTTTAAGGGGAGGGCAGAGCTTAGGTAGCAATATGTTGGCTCTCTGGAAGTCTGGCAAGGCCTAAAGGACTGTGGAGATGCCAACTGTGGCTCCTTTTTCCCTCTCAGGATCTAGACCTATCGCTCCAGAAGAGGGCAGGCGGTGCTAATCAGGTGAGTCTCTTTGCTCTCAGATTCTCCTGGAAGGTCCTTGGTCCCTCTCAGCCCTGGGTGTGGCCAATCTCAAATTCTCTTTTATTCTCCATCTAATAGTTTTCTCAGCCTGGTGCAGGAAGGCAAGAGGTGGGAGCTGTAACTTCCAAGGCAAGGTCTCTAGCACTGATGCCTGATCTAGACTCTACCTTTTCCCCTGGTCTCCTGCCTCACCTCACTTGAGTGGGGAGAGGTGTCAGGGAAGGAGTCTGCAGCCTTTGGGCTTAGACAGTTAAGACTGGTGAGGGGTGGGCTCTCGTGGCTGGAAAAATCTCCCAAATCCAATTTGGAAAAGGGGAAGGCAGGTGCTTTCAGAAAAGTCCAATCAGGACAGGGAGGTGGGGTGCTTGTTCCAGAGCCACATGCCTTCATCCCTTCTCCTTCCCTCCACCCCCACAGGACTACTATTACAACCAGCAGGCGTATCCTACTATGTCCAGTGGGCAGAACTCAGTGAGGAACACCCCCAAGGTGAGGCTCGTGACGCCTAGTTCTCCCACGGTGCCCTCGGAAGAGAGACCTAGTGGGTGTTCACTGCAGGGCCCTATCTCCTCACTCCGAAAGCCAGGCCGCTGCATCCCTTTGGAAGGAGACTTGCACCCTGTGAGCCACCCAGAAGAGGGGCAGTCCACACTTCTCCAAGCTACCCTCTCAGTGAGCTGCTTCAGTGCAACAGAGGAAAGCAGGGAGCAGGAGCCTCCCAGAGAGGAGCACGGATCTGACAAATCACATCCCACCATCCACACAGGCAGGGCTCTCTTCTCTGCTGACCTTGTTTGGGGAGCAGGGGAGAGGAAAGCAGACTAGCCCTCCTGGGAAAGCTAGCCCAGGAGCTCTTGGCTGGTGGGAAACCGAATGCTTCATGCCTCAAAGGAGTAAAAGGAAACAATACACTAGAAGTTTGTTTTGTACAGCTGCAAAGAAGGCAGTGTTATAATGGCAGGAAATGAGTATGCTGGATACTAATTAGGCTAGCAAAGTATAGCTAGGCAAAGGATTTCCCCCTATCTCTCAGAACAAAAAAGCTCCTACCCTAGAAGGGAGAGAACTTTCTGTGCAGAGATGGAGAAGTGGTGAGGAAAAGAAGGTATAGATGCCATTAGCGCTACAAAGTGGTGTCCCCTTGGCCAGTCTGCAGCTGATTTCTATCCACCCAGCAGGCAGAAGGGACATCTCAGCTCTTTACGTGCCCTGTGGTCACTGTGTGCTTAGGGCTATATTAAACGTCATTCTGGATACAACATGCTTAGGGGAAAAATCTTTAGACCGAATGTCCACAGTGAGACTGAAGGGCCTTGGGGATAATGCTGGCTTATGCCTGCCTCAGACACGGGGCCCTTTCTGAACCCCAAGGCCATGTCAGGGTACGGAAAAGCCACTATAGCCACACATCACCTCCTCTCATCTTCTCTCCACAGGAAGTACCCACACCTTCATCCTCGGTGAGTATGGGCAATGAGAAAACCTGGCTCAAAGAGACAGAAGAGGCCTGAGGCCAGAATGGGTGGAGGGGATAGTACAACACCCACTCAGCCCTTCTCCTGTCCTGCAGGCTTCCCGGGCACAACCAGGTTTGCTGCATTGGCTGAAGTTTTGGTAGGTGAGTGTCAGAGAGAGTGGCAGGAGGCCACATGTCAGGAGCTGAGGCAGAGTCACCTCTTGAGCAAGGCTGGGACCTTAGCATTTCCTCAGACCTCAGTCAGCAGCACCACAAAATGAGATTTCCTTTAGGTAGATGCTGGCTGGGGGGTGAAGGAGCAGATTCCATTGTGGGGTGTGGAGGAAGAGTCCCAAGAAAACGATCCAAGACACATGGAAAGCAGCCTGAGTGCTGAACAGAGGAGGAGCTAAACAGAGAGGAAGCTGTGTGGGCACAGAGAGGAGGGCGGTGTACTGGGGAAAGGACAGGAACAGGACAGGTACTGTCCCTGGGAACAGTAGAGAGATGAAGCTTTGGGGATAAAGGATGAAGTGGGGCTCCAGAGGCCAAGCGGTTAGAGATTGACTTGGTGGAACCATAAAATCTGCTTTAGGTGGGGGCAAAAGTGAGGGGAACGGACTGGGCAGGACAGCAAGGAGGTGCTGGAGCCTGGCAATTGGATGAAAGGACATCCAGTGGCAATTGATTTAGGAGTGGCCACATTCTATCATTTAATCTTCTCATTTTTTTTTCTAGAAAATTATTTCTGGTCACTGCTGAGACCCCATGAACACCAACCAGTCTTCAAAGAGCCCAACCGCGCTTCCCACAGTCTTCCCAGCTGTGCCACCCTCCCAGGTGCTGACAGCCACATCTGCGGGGCAGGGGACCTGGCTCATCTGTTCCTCACTTCTTCTCACTTTGCTGTGGTGTCTTTGTGACCATCATCAGCCTAAGGGAATAAGCTGTTTTCTGCACCTACTCTATTTTGTGACCTGAAGTCACTGACATTTTTCCAGAAAAAAGTCTCATACGTTGTTTCTCTGTGGAAATAAAACATGAATCTTGTTTCCGAAAGGCTTTCACAAATTGTATTAATACTAGACTGATGGCCTAGGTCAGGCAGGGTGGAAGAATGATTTAGGGGCAGATATTCTGCCTTCCTCCTGAGAGTGGTACCAAGCATGTGAGGTGGACAGAGAGAAACAAGACCTGGATTTTAGTCCTGACCTGACAAGAAGGAGCTAGCTGGTCTCACCATGCCTCAGTTTCCCTATCTGTAAAAAATCGTCTTTGGCCAACCTGTCTGGATACCATGTGAAGCAGTCATGGATGTTTTAGTGGCCTGAAAGGGCAATAGTACAACTATTCCAATCAGGAGGCCAAAGTAAAGAAGTTGTTCAAAGTGACAGTCCTGGTGGGGTAGGGAGAGGATGTAGGAGTGAGAGGGCTGGTAGAGAATTTGCCTGGGGATGCAAACATACTTGTGCTAGTCAGATTTTTGTTGCTGTGACAAAATACCTGAGATAAACAGCTTAAAAGAAGAAGGGTCTATTTTGCCTCACGATTTTGGAGGTTTCAGTTCATGGTCACCTGGCCCTGTTGCTTCTGGGCCTGTTGTGAGGCAGTATATCACGGCTGGAAGCATGTGGTGAAGCCAAGAAGCTCACCTCATGGACCCCAGGAGACAAGATATTCCCTTCAAAAGCAAGTAGGCCCCACCTCTTAATACCCCCTTCAGCTACGAATGCATCAGTGAGGTTGATGGCCTTCTGAACCTCTCGAGGCTTCACCTCCGAACACTGTTGTGTTGGCGAGCAAGTCCTCAATACATGATTTTTTTTCTATTATAAATACTTTATTTCAACTAGAAGGTACACTATCTCAGGGTTTTCATAGTTTAAAAAAACTACAATCACATCATGTTGAAACCACATTAAAAAAACAAAAACAAAACAGTGCTGTAAATGGAACTGCTTGGCTTTGACCATACACATTTCTGCACAGCCCTTACGGAATCTGCACAAAGAAATATCTTCTCCCTTTGCTCCAGTTAATTGTTCTTGTATGTAAGTTTCTCTCTATTTCAGTATATCCAGAGCGGTGAAATAACAAGGCCAGCCACGTAGCCAAAGGTTGCTCCAAGCATATAGGAGATGGGCCATACCTGCCATGGTCTTTCCCAATCTAATGGAATAGAAAATGCTCCAAGCCATGCTCCTACAAAACTAGAAATTGTAGTGATCTGGAGACTGTTCTCCCAAATGGATGTAACTCCATTTTTACTGAAAACTCTTAGCCATGCTTTGAGGTTTGGTCCTAACAAACATAAACAAAATACAGTAGGAAAAGTAGACAAAATAACTGCAAATAAAAATGTTTCCAACACCAACTCAATTAGTGGTGTTCCATATAAAACAAAAATCACATGAGAGGAGAAACAAGACACAAGAAAATAGACACAGCATTTCAAAAATCTGGTTACCTTATGTGATTATGAACTTCTTTTAGAGGATGCATTTGGCTTTAGAGGATGCATTGATTGAAGTTACAAAAAGAGAACAGAAGCATAACCATGTCAAGTGTGTGTCCAATATTGCAAAATCCTCCAAGAAGAATGATGGAGTAAGGACACTTAGAATAACTGAAAATATGCACAGAAAATGGACATATAGTAGTGTCTTGATATCAGTATCTTTCATAGTGTTTTGTGGCTGTCTAACTCTCCTGCCCGTGGAAGGGAAGGAGGGACTACTGGCTCCCACCATCAGGTGAGATGGGATGCCTTGGCCTTTGCGCAGGCGCATTAATACATGAATTTTGAGGGGGACACTTCATATTTAACCAATAACAATATTAAAGTGTGGATGGAGGGGGGCAGTTGGGTTGATGTGTGTAGCAATTTGGGGGAGGGATGGATCAGAGCTGTTACCTTGTATACAGCTGTTACCTTATGTAATCTGAGTTTCCAGGATACAGGGAGCAAGGGAGAAAACTACTTCACTAATGAATCAATGAAAGAAGCAGAGGCTCTGGGCACATGCTGGGCTCAAGGATATCACAGGCTGAGGAGGCCCTGGGCTAGGGATAGAGGGTCTGCAGTTAAGAGTCTCTGAATCCCATCCGGTGTTACGGGTGTGCCCTGCTGTGTCTCCCTGATATTTCTGCAAGGGAACAGGAAGTAAAGGGAGGACATGAGCACCCTGCCAGTCTAAGTGACTCCCTCTCCGATTGCAAGGTCCTGGAGGGCATGACCGGTTTTCCTTGGGTGTTGCCCCAACCCCAGTAGGCACAGAGGGCCTCAAATAATTTAATGAAAGGAACCTAGCCCCAACTGATCCAACCTGGCAGGGAGAAAAAGCAGGACCAGTCCTTGGCTCTTCCTCCCACCAACCCAGCTACCTTACTGGAATTGTGGCTACAGGATGGCAGTCATCCGCGGTTCCATCTCGAGAGCCTTGAAGTACCTCCTCACAGCCACAGGAGGGAGCACTTGGAGCAGTCCCACAGAGGCCACTCCATCCTCACTAGTGACAGGTGGTTTCTGGAGGTGAGTGAGGTCTGGGAAATGGGAACTGAGGTCTCTTCAAACCAGTCTCTGAGGAACCGAAGGGAAGGGAGAGGTGGCCAAGGTGGTTCTGGACTCTTGGGGTGTTCTTGGATAAAAAGGCTGAAAGCAGCCCTTCCAGTAACACTTGAAGCAGATTAAGGTGGGCATAGGGGACTCTCCGAAAAGGGAAGTTGCCTTTTCTGGGGGCCTCTACAGTATCCTCCTAAAGACCCAACATTCATTCTCCCATGACAGCCAGGAAAGATTCCCTGCTCAGAACTTTCCATAAACTTTTCTTTAGCCCTACAAAGAAATACCGGCTGCTCATCAAGGGCGTTTCATTTCCAGTCAGCAAGTACTTGGTAGGAAAGCCTCTCGTGAGACACCAATTGTTGTCTGTTACCTGTCTCTGGATCCAAGATCCTCAGAAAGCCATTGCTTCTGCTGCTTTCATGTCTTTCTTTCTTTCTTTCTTTCTTTCTTTCTTTCTTTCTTTCTTTCTTTCTTTCTTTCTATGTCTCAATTCTTGTTAAATTTTAAATTCTTAACTGTTTCTTTTCTCTCTTTCCTCCCCCACTCTTCTCATTCTCCTCCTCCTTCTCTTTCTTCTTCTCCCTCTTCTTTGTAGTACTAGGGATAGAACCCAGAGATGCTTTACCACTGAGCTAGATTCTCAGCCCTTGAATTCTTTTCTTAATTTTAAGAAAGAGTCTTCCTAACTTGCCCAGACTGACTCAGAACTTGCGATCCTCTTGCCTCAAGCTCCCAAGTAACTGGGATCACAGACATGCACCACCACGCCGGACTTATTTTCTTTCTTTTTTCTTACTTCTTTTCAGTTAGCAATTCAATGGCCCTCCCCAGTGCATCTTCACCAAGGATCACCACGGTATCACCCTGCTTTCTTCCCAGCACCTGTCATTGTCTGACGTTATCTTGGATATTGTAGATAGTTTCCTTATTTATTTATCTTCACTGTGATCACAGATTGTGATGTCTCCTCCACTGTAACATAAGCTCCTTAGAGCAAGTGCTTGGTCTATCTTGAATTCCCAGCACCCAGAGCCAAAGTGACTGCTCGGTAAATACAAATTAGCAAACCGGAGGAGGAGGGCTTGGAATTGAGTGGGAGCAACCCAGGAAGTGTTCCTGGGAGAAGTTTAAACAAAGGGTACACAGGGTGGGCGGCAAAGGAAGGCACCAGGCCTGCTGGGCAATGTGGCTGCTTTCTGGAGAAAACATGGACATGCAAGCCCTGAGTTCTGCCTCCTCACAGCCCAGACTCTGTCCTAATATCCCAGTCCCAAGTGCCTTTTTTTCCCCCAATTTTTATTTTTTATTAGTACATGTTTGCAGTAGTAATGATTGCATTCCTTGTGGGGAATTGGTGTATGTACACAACATACCTTAATTCTGTTTTCAGCCCCATCTCCTCTCTTCATCTCTTGGTCCCTTCCCTTTTGCAAAAGATCTATTTCCTGTTACCTATCTTTTATTTTGTTCTTTATTTATATTTTGGGTTTCTCATAAGAGAGAAACCATGCAATATTTAAACTCCCATGTCTGATTTATTTCACTTAACATTATGGTCTCAAGGTGCAGCCATTTTTCTACAAATGACTCAAGTTTATCCTTTTAATGGCATAGTAGTACTCCATTGTATATAAATACCACACGTTATCTGTTCATCTGTTGCTAGACATACAGGCTCCTTCCAAGATTTAGCTATTATGTATTGTGCTGCTATAAACATGGGTATTCATGTATCACTGTAATGTATCTCTAATTCTTTTGGGAAGATACTCAGAAGGTGAATAGCTGAGTCAAACAGAATTTCTAGTTTTAGTTTTTTGAGGAATCACCATACTGATTTCCATAATGGTTGTACTAGTTTATGTCCCACCAACAATGTAGAAGAGTTCTTTTTTCCCCAGGACTTCTCTGCCATTTGTTATTATTTGTTTTCTTGATGATAGCTGTTCTTTCTGGAGTAAGGTGGGATCTCACTGTTGTTTTTAATTTGCATTACTTTAATAGTCACAGATGTTGAACTTTTTTCATGTATTACTTAGTCATTTGTACTTCTTCTGAGAAGTGTTTATTCATTTCATTTGCCCATTTTTGATTGGGTCTTTTATTGGGGTGGTCTAATATATTTTTTTAATTCTTTATATATTCTAGATGTTAGTCCTCTGTCCAAGGAATAGCTGGCAAAAATTTTTCCCATCCTAAAAGTTGTCTCTTCAATCTATTGGTTGTTTTCTTTGCTATGCAGAGGCTTTTCAATTTGATATGATCTCATTTGTTGATTCTTGACGTTATTTCTTGTGCAATTGGGGTTCTGTTAGGAAAATCCTTGCCTACGCCTATGTCTTCAAGAGTTTTACCTATTTTATCTTCCAGCAGATTAAGTATTTCTGTTTAACATTTAGACCTTTGATCCATTCTGACTTTAGTTTAGTACATGGTGAGAGATATAGTCTAGATTCAATCTTCTGCATGTGGATAGCCAGTTTTCCCAGCACCATTTGTTAAAGCGACTCTCTTTCCTCTAGTGTATGTTTTTGTCAAATCAGATGAATGTGCCTGGGGTTGTTTCTGCATCTTCTGTTCTGTTCTATCAATCCACGTGTCTGTTTTTGTACCAGTATCATCCCAGCTGGCGTTCCTTCCAAGGATTACAGGCTTTTCACCAAGGTGCTCACCATGGCCCTGAAAACTGGGTGCCCATCCTTTCAAGCCCCCTCTCAACACCCAGGAAGCTGGCTCCAGCCTCTCTGGGTGGCTGTGATGTAGCAATCTGGGCTGGGCCTCACCTTCTACTCACATTCAAGTTCTGGCAGATTAGGGGTGGGGTGGGGGCAGGGCTGTGGAATTTACTGATATTCTCAGAGAGGGAACAGGAAAGTCAACTAGGCCTGGAGATGTGGTTCCATTACCCTGTGGCATACATCCAAAGTGTAACCGAGGCCTGAGTGGTCTCCCTTGTCACCTACCACCTGGACTGCTGGGACCTTCCCCCACTGAAAGCTTTCTACCCTCTCTTCCCTGACCTGTGCCACTAGTGGGCACTGGACACTTGGGGGACACAGACTCATAAGTCAGGGAAGGAGTATAGAAAGAGACTGTAGATTTTTGGTTGTTTTTTTTTTTGGTACGGGGGATTGAACTTGGGACCTTGTGCTTGCGAGGCAGGCGGTAGAACCACTGAGCTAAATCCCCGGTCTGAGACTCTAGATTGTAAAGCCAGAATTTGCAGTAAAAATTGGGTAAAGATGCAATTACCTTGAAAATGTCAGAAAGGACCAAGTGAAAAAAAATCATAACCCCAACACAGCCAGTTTTTCTCAAGCATAGGAACAGAATTTCTTTGGTTGAGCACTTGGAGTAGTTGGCTTGTGTTTAGAGGAATCAAGCACCTATTATAAAATACTAGAACTTCAACCAGTAGGACCAGAACTAGGACACTAGGTTTGTCTGTTTTTTTTTTTAAACTACTAGGGATTGGGCCGGAGATTTAGCTCAGTGGTTCTGTCGCCTGCCTTGAAAGTGCAAGGACCCGAGTTCGATCCCCAGTACCAAAAAAAAAAGATAAACTACTAGGGATTGAACCAAGGCCTTTGCACTAAGTTACTCTCTCAGCCCTTTTTCATTTTTATTTTTCATTTGACAGGGTCTGGCTCTGTTGCCCAGGCTAGGCTTGAACTTGTGATCTTCCTGGCTCTGCCTCCCAGAGTACTGGGATTATAGGTACCACTGCACCTGGTGGGACACTAGATTTAAACATACGTGCTGTGTGGCAGATGTAAGAGGCATCTGCAAACTAAGGCAACTGCAGGTTCATTCTGCAGTACACATTAACTGAGTGCCATGAACCTTTTAGTTCTTTGTTTTCATTTGTTAAGAGTGTGTGATTTAAGATGGGTGTGGTGCCAGCACTCTGGGAAGCACTCTGAGGCAGGAAGATTGGAAGTTTGAGCCCAGCCTTGTGGATTTAGTAACTTAGCAAGACTGTCTCAGATAGATAGATAGATAGACAGATAGATAGATAGATAGATAGACAGACAGATAGATAGCTGGGGATGTAGCTCAGTACAAAGGCCTTGGGTCCAAAAAGCTTTGCAATTTAATTCACTTAAATTAATGCATGCCATCTGTTGCTGTACAGTCTGCACACCACAAAGGACACCTGGCAAAGGGGCCAATGAGTCTGTGTCCTCCCCACTCCCAGGCAGGGGTCTAATTCACATAAAATACCACATGGGTTGGCCAAGGCCCTTTGCAGGACACTACTCCACAGTACAGCACAGGAGCAATACAGACTCTGGCTGTGGAGTCCTGGCCTCTCATGCTGGCCACACTGGCTGTGTGACCTTGAGTAAGTTGTTTAACCTCTACATGCTGTGGCTCCCTCACCTAGACAATGTGGATAATTATAGGACCTACCTCAGAGAATCTGTGGTATCTCTCTGAGATCATGCATATGGGGCATTCAGCAGAAGGCCTGCCGCATAGCAAGCTCTCAATAAATTGGCTAATATTATTATTAGCATCATTAGGTGGAAAGAAAAACATTGGGAAGTAGGTTGCAAAGATCAATGACAGACCAGACTCTAGAGCCAAACAGATGATGATGGTGTATGGGCCATCTGTGCTTTGGAGTATCCATGCCAGCACTGAAATTAAAGACTCTTCCATAACCATATCTACATGTAGTTGATTTATATAAAAGCTTTCCTTCTCTGTCTGCTTCTCGATTCCTTCCACTCCTGGAGATGGCCCTATGCTGTTGGAATGGTGGCTAATGAGCTCTTTCAGTCACTGTTAATTAGTAAGCATCTATTAAACATAAAAACCATGTCCTCCAGAAAACTTTTTGGGAGGTACTCCACCCGCTGGAATCCCTTACTTGTTCCCTCCAGTAACACTAACTGTCCATGACATCCACTGCCACATGGCCATCAGTGCTTAGTGAGTATTCCTCCTGCATTGTGTCTTCAGGTGGCTCTGCAGAGGAGGAGATGCCACTGTACAAACAGGGGAGGCTTCCTGAGGCTACAGAGGGGCAGAGTACTTGGGACTGGAGTGTGAGGGATGTACGGTGAAGAGGCCAGACTGTAGGGTTAATAAGATTGTTCATGAATGACATGTCACCCTCCCACCCGAGCCCTGCCACTGATGTGCACTGCATCAGGCTGGGGTGGGAGACTCACCCTCAGATAAGGGCTTGCCTTGCCCTGGCGGCACTGGTCTCTGTCCCAGCACTTCCCTATTACACCAGGAACTGGTTGGGCCACCTGAACCTCATTGCAGAGAAGGTTGCTTCATCAGGCTCTTTTGTTACTTTCAGGTGATCCAAATCCCAAGCTAGGGCTGGGGTGTGTGTTGGGAAGAGAAGTTCAGAATATGGAGATTCATCTCCAGTTGTCTATCTCTAAGACTTGATTTTGCTTCTTTTATGTTTCTCTATTCCTTGCCTTCTTAGTTCAAGACCTTTATCTCTCTGAAGACCCAAGAGTAAAAGATGGGCAGTGGAATGATGGGAAGGATCCAGGCCCAAAAGAGCAAAGTGTACAGCTTGGCAGAAGGACGCTTGGATATGAATTCTAACAAAGAATTCTAACAAAGAAATGTTGGGTCTGCGTATATTCTTTGAAAGGTATGGTGCTAGGGAGATAGAAGGGTGGTTAAGATATAGCACTTAAAAAATATATAGTGCTTGACCTAAGGAACTTAATATTCTAAGGAGGAACAAGAGAAAACATAAGTTACTCTAGGTACCATGTTGGAGAGATGCCAATGAACTGACACAGCAATTTTGAGAGGGGGAAGGTGTGGGAAGCGAGTAGTGAGAGAAATCAGGGAAGCTTCACCCAAGGTGGACACTAGGTCCTGAGAACTAAAGATGAGAGAAGCGCATTGGACGAACAAGGAACAGCACGGCCAGATGACTGAAGGAAAAAAAGGGGCTATTTGGTAAGGAATCCAATTTGGCCAGAAGGTAATATATTTACAAAGAAATAAAAGAAGAAAACAGAAAAGAAAAAAAAAAAAAAAAGAAGAAAACAGGCAGAGTGAGTCCACAGAATGGAAGGCCTTTAGTACCATGAGGACTTTAGACAGATTTGGTAGCATGGGGGAAAAGAAAATGAAACATTGGAGGAAGGAGCAAAATAAGGAAAAGAGGCAAAGACAAAAGGAGAGGCTGGAGGGTGCCACTGCCAATCTTTGGGAGGGACAGGTTCAACCTGTCTCCATCACATCCACATTTACATGAAGAGATCCACTGCAGTCTCACCTTCCAAATGCCTGGGGCAGAATGTGAGTTGAGAAATCAAAGGCAAGTGGAGAACAGTCCCCACCTCTGCCTCCCAGAGCCCCAGGGGTGGGTGACATGATCTGGGGGTGAGTCAGTGGGGTGGGGATCCCACTTCTGTTCAAATCTACCTCCTTGGGAATATAAAGGGCAACTGATGAGGCCCCGCCTCAGAGCACCCCAAACTTGACACCATGAAGATCCCAGTTCTTCCTGCTGTGGCTCTTCTCTCCCTGCTGGTGCTCCACTCTGCCCAGGGGGCAGCCCTGGGGAGTCCTGAGGTGAGCATCTCACCTGCGCTTTTATTATGCCTATCATTTGCCTACCCCCAATTTCTTTATCTTCTATCCATTACTGGACAAGTAGTTTCATTTTGGATATAGTCAGGGGGTGAATGAGAAGCTGGGGCTCTGAGGAAGGGAGAAAAGGAGGAAGGGCATTCCTGGGAAGACATTTAGGGTCACAGATACTTCTGGAAGTGATGGTGAAGTGGGGGTGGAGACTAGGTTACTGAACCATGGAGGAGGCAAGGGCTGAGGTGGGTTGTCTGGGTTCAGCCTAATCTTTGCATCTGCCGTACCACTATGGATGGCTTCCAGGTGGCTGGGGGCTTCCTACTACCTCTGGAGCCCAGGCCACAGCAGACTCCTTATGATGTACGATCTAGTCCCCAGGCAGCTAGGAATCCTGGGCCTCTACTTCTGTCTTATCCTAAGGTAGGAAATGGTGTCCATTCTGGATTTAAAAGTCTAACAATCAGGGTCACAGACCCAACTGATAAGGATCTGAGTGAGTGGTGTGGGTGAATGAGTGAGGGGACTGTTTAGGTCTCAGATGAACGGGAGCAAAGGAGCCCAATCTAAAAGGAGGCAGTATTGATTCTGTCTGCTTGTTGCTATGTGGGAAGATGTGGCCACTGTGGTCAGTGTTAAAAATTTCAGGAAGAAGTGGAAATCTGAATTTATTCATGAGTTTCTACTAATTGAAAATGTTTAGTTCAAACTGAGAAACAAACATGCCAAGCCACTATGAGATCTAAGCATTTGGATCTAGCCTGGGTTCCTGTGACTCTTGCCAAGATGGGATGCATGGAGGGGGGAAAATCCAGATTATAGCACAGGTGGCAATAAAATCACAAAGCAAACTAGCCACCGTCAATTAAATGCAAGTAGCTCACCTCAGCAGCTTGGCTCCTACCTGCACGCTAATCTTCTCCACCCAGCTCTACAGGCTAAGCATGGGTGTTTCTAGAACACTTCAAATCTACCAGTCTTGGCATTAAGTCCACTGCAGAACAATACTAGTTAGTTTTTCCTGAGAGGAATCCTCTTTTCTCCACCCTCTCCCCAACCTGCTGCCTACATGGATGCAGACCTGGGTCTGGAACTTCTCTATCTTACACTTGCCATTCTCCATCCCTTCCTCTCCCACATCTGCCAACCACATTCGTCATTAGAACAGAGTGGCTGAACTGAGGGCCTGAGGTGGACAAGGTGGAGTTGGCAGAGCGCCACGTGGGTGAGGCACACATTATGTAATCATTTGCCTCTTTCTTTCTTTCTCCTTTTCCAGGAAGAAGCTACCATTGCAAATTATGCATTAGGATCAGAGGTAAACAATCTGTTTTGCCACACTCCAGCTGTGAACGTACCCCCTACCTCTGTGCCCCTCTGCAACTTTCTTAACACCTTGCTTTTTTGCTAGGCCTTTAACAATCAGTTCCTGAATATTGGCAAATGGAAAAATGTGAGTATGATTCCCTAGTGCTGGACCCAAAATATCTACTTTATAGAGGAGATTCAGAGCTTGGGAAACTGCCATAGTGCTTTTCCAGAGGGTTGGGACCCAGCTCTGTCTTTCCCTGGAACTGAGCTCATTTCTGGCCTTTTTGCACAGAATTTCAACACTGATGAATTCCTGAACTGGCATGCCCTCATAGAGGTAAGTGCCCGGGTGCTCCTTCCTCGTCTTGTTTTTTGGCAAGGCAGGGCTCATTTTAGCCCTTTTGGTTCATTCCTGAGTTCTAAGAGGCAGTGACTGGCCTGCCTTGGTGTTGCTCAATGCATTGTCAATCAAAGAAAGAGTCCCCAGGAGGTTGTCACAGCTACATTCTATTTTCCTAAGAAGGCAGTCAGGGAACGGAGCCACAGAAAGAGTTCTAGAAGAGGAAGACTTTTGTCAGGCTTTTATTTGAATCCTCTTACCCTTTACAAAGAAACAGAGCCACCCAGACATAGAAGGCTGAGTCAGTGACAGAGCTGGACCAGAGCTTGCATCTCATGACTGCACTTATTTTCTACGTGACCTCAAGCAGATGTCTTCAGTTATCAGAGCTTCACTTTCCTCATCTTTGATGTGGGGATGGTGACAGTGCCCACTTCAGAGGGCTGCTGCAGAGCAGTTAGTATAAGACACACACAGAATATTGGTTTTCACTCTAATGATGAAAAAACAGCACCATGGGTACTTCAGGAAGTTCATTCAGTGAGTGCTTCCTGATCCCTGCTCACGTGGCCTCTTCTTTTCTTCTTTTAGTTCATCAAAAAGTCATTTCCTTTCTTTAACTGGGAGGTCTTTCCCAAGGTAAGAGTGGTATCCAATTAGATGACAGGGAAGTGGGTGCAGAAGAGGCAGTGGACCTGGGAGGGGGAGGGGACTGTGAAAGAAGAAGCCTTCTTCTCACCAAAGCTAAGGCTTAGTTGTTGTGTTCAGAGTGGAGACTTAGATGACTCCAGACATTCTTTACCATCAGTGTCCCACCCTACGCTGGCTTCCCTGTGGGGACTCCACCACCCAGGAGTCCCCAATCTGACCATAGCCCCTCTACCTCCAGCTGAAAGGAATGAGGAGTGCAGTTCCTGATTCCCAGTGACCATTCTCTTCAAGATCTAGGACTGCTGATCCTCACTGGAAGAGCCTCACTGAAAAATCTGATTTCTATCCTACAGTGACTCTTTCCTGGTTCAATACACTAATAAAATGCTTTCCACCCAGCTCCTTTCTGTTTTGGTTTTTTGAGACAGGGTATAACTATGTAGTTCAGGCTGGCCTTGAACTCATTATGTAGCCTGGGCTGGCTCCAAACTCACAGCGATCCTCCTGCCTCAGGCTGGCCTTGAACTCGAAGTGATCCCCCTGCTTCAGCCTCCCGGTACTGGGATTACAGGCATGTGCCACCATGCCTGGCTCTAAACAGCTCCTGAATTTGTGATTCTGTTCCAGGCCTACTGGACTCAAGAGAGGAATTAAGGCTAGCAGGCAGAGATCTTGAATTCTGAGAGAAGACTAAGTAGGGAGATAGGAAGAAATACTGAGGACATACTGTTACTGAACCTGGCACATAGTATGTCAGTCACAGAAGTGACAAGTTTCACAAAAGAGTTTATTTATGAGGTCCCAATCCTGTGGAGATGGGATAAGCCACAAATCTGCTGCTCCATGATTAGGGTTTAGGAATATTTATGGGAAAGAGAAACAGGGTGATCTGAAGTGTGGGGAGAGGTTATTGGAAGTAAGAAAAGGTGAAGTGATCAGTAGTCCACACCTGCATATGCACATTTCATAGCTTTGCAGAGGACAAGTATTCAGAAAGTGGCATGTTAGCATGATCTGTGGTTAGCTTTTGGCTTTCTAATCTCAAAAGTACTCATTAGACACTTCTGCAGGCTCACATAAGGGAGCTGGTGGCTTTAACTGGTATGACTTATAGTGGGATAGTAGGCTATCTACACATTTCTAAAACACACACACACACACTGCAAAACTTTAAACAATCATTGCCAAGATGAATATGCATCAGAGGCATTATCTACAGCAAAGCTAGTAATGGTCTATTACTTTATTATTTACCTATCTAAAATCTAAAATCAGTAATGAAAGCAAGTAATTACTATGTTTCTCTGAAAATAAGACCTAGCTGGGAAATAATCAGCTTTGCATACTAGAGACAAAAAATGCCAGCCCAGGGCTGAGAATTTAGCTCAGTGGTTCCGGCGCCTGCCACGAAAGCACAAGGTCCTGAGTTCGATCCCCGGTACAAAAAAAAAATGCCATCCTATCAGCCTATCCTCGCCTTACCTGCCTTACAGAGTGTCCACTGAACATGAGGGTGGCAGATGACCGCGATAGCAAGATGCCCAAGAAATCAAACCTCCTCCCTGATATCTTTCCCACTTGCTTTCTGAAAACCTGATTCCTTCTGTGATGGCAATTTTACATAATAGAGCTATCTGGAATCCAAGATTCAGGACTCAGCTTAAATCATAAGAGCTTATTTGAAATCCTTTTTTTTTTTTTTTTTGGTTAGGTAGGTCATAAATAAGGAAAACTAGTAGTGTGATCCTGGGCCTTTCTTTCTCCGTGAAATGAATGAGGAAATAAATGAGAATAATAACAACTACCCTATGTGTCCTTATGAAGGTCAAGTGACATAAATATATAAAGCTTCTTGCGCAGGGCCAAGTACAAAGTAAATTCTCAACAACTGCTTGTTTCCTCCACTTCCCTAGTTTCAACAGAGCTGCCCCCACTGACCCAGATTCATTCACCCATTCACCCAGCCAGCCACTAACTGCAAAGATCTTGGAACATGGAACGGATTCAGTTTTGGTCCCTGCAGACGTATCCTGTACAGCCTGCTCCTTGTACTTAAAACACTGAACTAGGATTATCACTGATTGCTCTTGAAAAAAATGGGAAAATCAGAGAATAATGGACCTGCGACTGGCTTAAAGCCAAGTTTCAGTTACCAACTTTATACAGGACATGGCTACCACCTGGCAAGTTTTACTTACTTACATTGCCTTTTGGCTATTATAAGCAACTGGGTTTCCAAACTGGAATGCAGCTTAGTCAAGGAAGTGGATCCTAAGGGAAACTAAACTTGATTCTTGCTTTCAAGGAACTTACAGACCAGATGAATAAGACATGTAAGTGTTGCTTATACTATTCCTTTTGGTTAAGTAACAATACAGAGAGGACCTGTAAAATGACTCAGAGGTTGCTTTTGCTGAGAAGCACTGACTCTTCACTTGGGCCTTCAGAGGCCTGATAGGTAAAAGTAGGATAAAACCTTGTCATCTTTGCTTCCACTTTCCATCTGTCTTTGTTCTAAGTCATTTTCTCCTGCAGTCTCTTTAGGTTCCAGGAATGGGTCTGATTAATAAGCATCTTGTATTTCCTCCCCTGGCAACGGCAACTTTCTTGTCATGAACAACTCCCCCTCCACACACACCGTGACCATTACTGAGCTAACAATCAACCATATCACAGTTTGATCAAGACTGCTTGACTATGCATACTTCCAGCCTCTCTTCGTGTCTAATTTGGGAGCTCATGTCAGTACCCCTGAAGACAGGGATGACAACCCTAATCCCCTTTGTCTTCTACATACAGCTATGTTGAAAAAATTCCTTTTCTGCCTTTCAACATTGCCTTTCCCATCTGTTTCTGGGGTGAGGAGCCAGAACAGATTCATTGAAATTTCTCAAAGTCAGGGCTCCTCTAGCCTAGAACTCCAGTAACAGAGTGACCAACAGAGAAGAAATAACTGGAGACTGGTCAAATTAAACTAATAAAATTAATGAAAATACTAAACAAAGACTGAGCAATCCCAAGTTGGGTGATAGAAAATGGAGTAGGGGATGAAGGGGATGAAGTCCTTAAGAGACATTTACTGAGTGACCAGATTTCAGAGGAGGACTAAAAGATCCTAAAAGGATGTCCAGCAATCCAAACTCAGAAGCTGGAAAAGTAAAAAAGGACTTTATTTGGAGTCTTAGGAATTGCAATTCAGTACACATGGGTTCAGATAGCTCTGAATCAGTTGTGAGGAAGGCAGGAAAAGGGAAGCTTATATGTTGAGAAGAAATGCTAGTTGTCAGCCGTGATGGTGCATGGCTATAATCCCAGCACTCAGGAGAATCACTCAGGAGGATCACTGTGAGTTTCAGGCCAGCCTGGGCTTCATAGTAAGTTCAATGCCAGCCTGAACTACATAGCAAGACCCTGCCTTCAAAAAAACAAAAAACAAAAAAATTTTAAAAAAAACAAAGCAAAACAAAACAAAGAAAGAAAAATGCTGGCTAGGTGACCCAAAGGACAAAGAAAATAGTGTAAATATAAAGAGAATGGAAATGTCCATGAAACAAGTATCCAATAAATGCATGATGTGTATCTTGAGGCTCTGGGCACACTGTAATTGTCCAATTGGTTAGGTCCTTCCAGATGCCTGCAGTCAAAGAGTGGAGGTGGCCAAAGTTCACATTCCAGACTGCAGCTAGAACCTTGCATAAGTCCTGCTTCCGTAATGACCTACCAACTCTGTTCTGAGAAGCTCTTTCAATATTCTCTCCTAGTAATTTTCTTTTTATTTTCATAAGGACAAACAGTTGTCAAACACAAGTTAAGAATACTGCTGAGATAAAGCAGTGGTTCTAAAAGTGACCTCAAACCAGAGCAGCAGGATCACCTGGGAGCTTAAAAGAAATGCAAATTATTGGGGCCCAGCCCCCCCCCCCCCATCTGTGAAGTCAGAAGCTGGGGATAGGACCCAGAAATCTGTTTTAACAAGCTCTCCAGGTGAATCTCATGTGCTACAGCTTGGACACCACTTAAAAAAAGAAAGTTAGAGAAAGATTAATCCAAAATTTAGTATAGTAATTACCTCTAGGGGGAGAGATCCCATGTGATAAGGAAGTGGCATGTGGGGGACAGAAGGTTTCTACAATATAATACAATACCTCTTCCTTAAATATAGGCAGCCCTCTGGGTCCCTGAGTTCTGCATCCATGAATTCAACCAACTGTAGATCAATAATTTTGAAAAAAAAAAATCTCATCTGTACTGAACACACAGAATTTTTTCCTTGTCATTATTTCCTACAGGTGTTTTAAAGTATATGGGAGGTTGTGCAAGGGTTATGTGCAAATTCTATGCCATTTTATACAGTACACTTGAGTATCTGAGGATTTTGTTATCTGCAACCAATATCTCACAGAAAACTGAGAAACAAGTATACACACACTTTATACACATGTATGCATGCCGTTTTCCACATTATTATTATTATTATTATTTTTATTTTGCCATACTGGGGACTGAATCTAGAGCCTTTGCACTGAGCTATATACACCCCCAGCCCTTTACAGAAATGCACTAACATGATTCAGAAAATTCAACAAATGTAAGACCTGTGCTCACTGAGAAATGGCCTATGTAGAAGATATCAATAGGTAGCCACACTTTCCTGTATACTTTATACAAACAACAACAAATACATTTTTTTTTGGTACCTGGGATTGAACTTGGGACCTTGTGCTTTCAAGGCAGGCGGTGGAACCACTGAACTAAATTCTCAGCCCAACAAATACATTTTTGTACGGACACTGTATCACCTGTTATATAGGATGAGAGATATGTGTTGCGATATGAAACAGTCTTCAAGATATAATAAAATGAGAGAGAAAGTGGCAGAGCAGTATGTCACCATGCAGTTAAAGAAAGACACGACAGAAATATGCACTCTTAGTGTTTAGGATAAAATTCAAGAAACAACAGTGATAGCCTCTAGGGGGTGAGGTACTTCCACCCTGTATCCTTTTATGAAAAATGTTTTCTTTACAATGTTCACGTTACATATTCAAAAAAATAAGTTAAAACTAAAACTCCTTACTAAAGCAAACAAATACACAAGAAATTCTCTGCATTTTAAGATAATAGGACCTATGGAGTGGCTTAGGTACTCCTTTTTTTTGAGTAGGTACTTCTTCCTGAATGAATCAAATAAATTTCTCACATTTGCCATATCCTTTTGGTCCTCAAAGTGAGGTCTATGGATCAAGAGCAACAGCATCATTGGGTGCCGGCCTATTAGAAATGCAGAATATCAGCTGATCAATCTGAATATTTTAACTAGACACCCAGATTATTCAAATACACAACCGAGTTTGAGAAGCATTACCCTTGGCATTATAAATGCCAAGCAAAATGCTTTCAAGGAGCCTCTGATCCACTGAAGACAAAGGAAGTGTATGAGGAGAAAGAGCTAGATATCGTGGAAAGATATGTTTTTTTTTAAATTAAAAAAAGGTTTCAATTATAGCCATCAAAATATTTATGGATTCATATCAAAATAAAATACTGATATTGCTGTTTGATTGATTGATTGATTATGGCACTGGACATTGAACCCAGCGAAGGCCTTCACACTGAGCTGTATCCTCAGTCTCTCTCTTTCTTTTCTTTCTTTCTTTCTTTCTTTCTTTCTTTCTTTCTTTCTTTCCTTTCTTTCTTTCTTTTCTTTCTTTTATTCTAGACAGGCTCTTGCTAAATCACTGGCTGGGATTGAACTTGTGATCCTCCTGCCTCAGCATGCCCAGCTGGATTTATTAGTTTTAGAAATCATCTCTTAACTTGCTGTTATCTGAGACAAAAATGTCTGTTACTTGCCCTATCCCTTCTTGCAAATTGCAATAATAAAATAATAATTTTAGTTAAATCAATAGCTTTTGATTATTGTTTTGTGATTATGTAATTATTAGCTATTGCAAATCCAAAAAATACACTGTGGTTACATCTCTTTTCTTGTTCTCATTTTGTTTTTCCTGGAGTTATTATTTCCTCCCTCCCTCCCTCCCTTCCTTCCTTCCTCCCTTCCCGTGTTTTATTATCATTATTTCCTATTACCTCTTCTTTTCTTCCTCTTGGACTTTTCATGGACTGAGTGATAGTTTTTCAAGTTTAATTGTATACCCTCTGTCATCTGGAACTTTCTTCCTTGAAGCCCTGCTGCTCTACTAGAGACTAGTTTTACTCAGGCCTTTCACCTAGGTGTTTGAGTATTTTTGGAACCTGTGTTTCCTGGGTCCTGTATCTTGGCTTCCTTCCTTGTTCTGGTGGCATGTATGCTTCTGTACTTACTAAGAAAGGGTGCATGCAAGATACAGTCTTTTGACTCCTTATTTATATGACAATGTCTTTTTTCCTCCCCTAGTCTGTGTTTGAGGTTTGGCTGTATAGAATGGTAGGCTGTAAATTACTTTTCCTTGAAGGCATTGTTCCATTGTCTTTTTCACTTTCCTTTTTGAGAAGTTCAATATAATTTCTTTTTTTGGTACTGGGGATCGAACTCAGAACCCTATGCCCGTGAGGCAGGCGGTGGAAACACTGAGCCAAATCCTGACCCTATAATTTTTAATGCCATTCCTTTGTATGTGATTTGTCTATCTGAATATTTCTAGGGTCTTCTCATATCCTTAGTGTGCTGAGACTTGGCATTGATCTTACCTCATCACAGGGCTTTCAGTTTGAGTTTCATGTCCTTCAGTTCCAGGAAATTTTTCTTTCTTTGATAATCTTCTCCTCTCTTTTCTTAGTTGAATTCAGTTGATTTCTGAAGTCTTTTATCCATGAATTATCTTTAATTTTTCCATCATTTTGCCTTTATATTATTCTAACCTATTTTTTCATATTGCTATCATTTTTAATATCCAAAGAATCTTTATATTTTTCATAGCATTCTGTTGTTTGCCTTTTACAAAGATTTTTTTGTTTTGTTTTGTTTTTTTGGTACTGGGGATCGAACTCAGGACCTTGCACTTGCGAGGCAGGCACTGGAACCACTGAGCTAAATCCCCGGCCCCCCTGTTGTTTGCCTTTTAACTGTTGGATGCAATATCTTAATTCTTTGGGGGAGTAATTGTAACTTTTATTTGATGCTTTCTCTGTTCTTGGCATCTTCTGTTCATCCTTATTCAATTTTGGGAGAATTTGTTTTCTTTTATGATACAGACTTCTTCAGATATCTGTTAATCCTTAGTTGTCACTTCTATCTTTTTATTTTATTTTATTTTTTTATTTTTAACTTTTTTAGTTTGTTTGTGTTTCACCTCATCTTTTGGAGTAAGGCACAAAACCTGCTCATTGGCAGAGCTCATGTTCTGGAGGTCTTCATTGTTGGGTTTTTGGTGGATGACCTTGCTGGCTTGCTCCGGGAACTCTGGATGTTACTATCTGTGGTTTTCTTTCATAGGGCAGTTCCATTTTCCTGAAAGAATCCCTTACTCTTCTGCCTGGGAGCAATAAATGGTGGCCTGCATTCTGGGAGCAGAGTCAAGGGCTTGGAAAGATATGTTTAAATCCAACAAAAGAGAGGAAATACTTTTGAATCAAGGCAATAAAAAATGAGAGGGAATAGCTTTTGAGCTGGGCATTAATAAAGAGACTAAAAAACAAAATCAAGCTCACTGATTATCTTTGGAGGCCACAGGGAACCAACTCATAGTGAAAATTAATAAATAAGGGGAATAAATCAAGAATTTATCCATTTTCATGGGTAAATTGTACCTTGGGATAAACAAATAGTTTTTATATGAGAATTTGAAGATAATAAATGCAGAATAATAGAATTATAATATTACCATTGTTCAAACTTCATAAAATAATGGGTCTAGGCTAGCATCTATAGGGGAGCAAAAAATTTTTCTTCTACCCTCCTGGGTAAAGTGACTGCGGCATGCACATGAACTGACAGAAGATAGATTAACAGGAGGAAAAGTTTAACACATAGGTGCTTCACAGAATAGAAGTGAAAACCTAAAGAAGTGTTTAGGTGTGACAGCTTATATACCATTTTAACAAAGGGTGATACACTGTGGTAAAATGGCCAAACAAAGGAAAAGGGGTTTGGACTTCTAGGGGAAGTAAATTGTGGGGAGAAGACACTAATGAGAAACAAGGCCTGTCTCTGTAAACTGAATATCCAGTGATAAGTCTTTTCTTCCTGGTGGGGAGGCATTTTCATAAAGGGAAAATTAAGTCCGTCTTTTAGGCAGAAATGGGGAGGACAGAAAGTTCCTCCTGGGTTTGCTGTTTCTTAATTGCCTTCAGCTCAAAAAGTGGTATCTTTTGGAGTGGTATTTTTTCTTTTTCTTTCCTTTTTTTTTTTGCAATACTAGAGATTGAACTCAGGGACTTGCACATGTGAGGCAAGGGTTCTACCACTGAGCTATATCTGCAGTCCGTTTTATTTTTTAAATTACTGAGACCAGGTCTCACTAAGTTGCCAGTGCTGGCCTCAAACTCACAATTCCTCCTGCTTCAGTCTCCCTGGTAGCTAGGATTACAGCTGTGAAACACCTATGTGTGCCACTGTACTCAGCTTGGAGTGACGTTCTCAGATCACTTTCACATCAATGCCTGCTAAAACCATCAGACAAAATGCTATTGGAGAACTTCAGTGAATCAGGCTGACACCCCATGAACCCATGGATCTCACCAGTGCTGAAAAAGAGATAAGGAGACATGCTTCTGCAGATCTGATGCAACAAAAAGCATACAGCATTGCCAAAATCATTCCCATATCTGATTAAACCTCTACAATCTAACTATAACTACCAGCTTTCAGGAAATAGGGTACAGAAAAACATGATAAAGGATTATATGGGGAATAAATTAATGAAATCCATAGCATTTCTCATGAGAAATCCCAGAGGACTGATGACCTAGTTTTTTCAACAAAAATAACATAGAAGGGGAGACTTAATGACAAAAACCAATTTAAGGTGCATATTACTTAAACATAATGTACTAATCTTGTCTGTGTCATGAGTTGGACACATCAACTGGAAAAGAAAAGGATTTATGAGATGGTGAAGAAAATTTGAATAATGACAGGCTGACACTGAGAAATTCTTAAGTTTTTAGATCTTAAGGTGTTACTGTAGATACATTTAAACAGTCTTTACCTTAGAAATAGATAATGACAAATTTATAGATTAAATGATAAACAATATAGTAGGGTGAGTAGTTATTTATATGAAAAAAGCTGGTAATTACAAGCTAACAGCAGAGAGTTCATTTCACTAGTTTTTAAATTCTGTATAGTTTGAAATTTTCTACAATAAATTTAAAAAAAATTTTTTAAATATAAAGTATGCTTTTGGAGCAGGGAGAGGAAGGAGAACTGGCAGTGAGGAACACTGTAATTCAGCTTGGCCATGGGGTAGGTGTTGAAGGCTGGAAATGCAGGTTGGGTCAGATGATGGAGGTCCATGAATGCGAGGCTGAGAAATTTCCACTTGACCCTATGGTCAGTAAAGAGTCCTAAAGGTGGTAACCACTGCAGTCATAATAACAACAGCCACACTTGTTTGGCCCTTATGTTCACCCAGGTATTATGCCAAGTGCCGTACATCTACTTTCTCAGCTGAACCACACAATAACTATTATGCTGGCATCATTATTCCTGTCTTATAAATGAAAGAAACTGACTCTCGAGATATGAAGTAATCTGTCCAACCTCACACAGCCAATACCTGGCAGAGCCAGGATTAAACCCATGCCTCTGACATTAGCCCCTTGATAACTGGAATAGTTCTGCTATCATTTGCTTTATATAACTTGGAATTTCATTTGAAGCTTTGAAAGAAATGCTTTCATTCTTCAAAAAACTGCTGCGGACAACAGGCAACTGCTGAAGGCATTTAAGGCAGTATAACTTAGTGGATGGAACACAAGTTTTTAAGTTACTCAGATGGGTTTCAAATGCTGTTCCTACCACATTATAGTGGTACCTTGGTTCACAAACTCAATTCCTTCCACATTTCTGGTCGCACACTGAATTGGACAAGAACCAAATCAAATTTCCCCATATGGTCAACATTGAACCTAGCTACTGAATTTGATTCAGTTCTTGACCAATTCAGTTTGCAACCAGAATTTATTTCTCAATAGATCTTGATAAAACCTCCCAAGGCTTCACTTGACCTTAGAAATGCATTATTCAGCCCCTCCTCGTAAGGGCCTGCCTGAGAATATTACTTTCTGCTTGAAGCCCCAACTCACAATTCTTATTATTTTCCATGAAGAAGATTATTTGCAATTCCAACCTGGCTTCCAACTCCAATGCTAACTTTACCTCTGATCCTCTTGGCTCGCTGGCTGTGCAGGATCCTGAGCTTCAAGATCTGCCTCCTTCGCCTTCCTTTCAGAACTAAGGATCACCTCAACTTCAGACAGTTACATCCGGCACTTCCGTCTTTCCAGTGAACTTCCGGCTAGAATGCGCAGGCGCGCTGTGATTCTGGACTGCTTTTGGCTCTTTCCTGTCCTGTTGGCGTTTCTTACCCTATTTGGGTTAACATTGGTTTGCTTGCCCCCGGCCCCCCTGCTGGCTCTTTATCACATCTGATTTGGTTGGGAAGATTCACTGGAAGGCACTTTAGCATTGTCGTTGAGGAACCTCTTTATCTTAAAAAAAAATTGAAAGTTTTTATTAGTACATATTTGCAGCACATAATGATTACATTCAACATGTGTCCCCGCTTCTATCAGGGCAGACCCTGAACGGCTCATACACACTGAGACTACAGAAAAGGCGGGAAACCTGAGGTGCAGTGGGGGACATTGAGGTTCAGTCCTGAAGCAGGAGCCTGTGAATCTTCAAACTTTGAGGCAGGCCCTGAGCTCCTCAGAACCCAGAATACGCACAAGCGATCTCTCTGTCTGTCTCTCTGTCTGAGAGAGAGAGAGAGAAATAGTTCTTTATCAATTATGTGTTGAGATTGTGATACTGTGAACGTGGATTAAAGTATGTCATTCATTCTTTTTATTTCTTTTAATGTGTCTATTAGACAAAACCTTTAACTTTTGTTATATTTCTGTTAGACAGTGCTGAGGATGATACCAGGATACATTGCTAAATTCTTAACTGGTACTTAATAAATGCCTGATAAAGTCTGTAAATATATTTTTACAGATTGCTTCCCAGTAAAAAGCTGTCTATCTTTCAGAGCTCATCTGTAACTGTCAAGGCATGCAACAAAGTGAGCACAAAAGGCAAGAACTTTCAGATCATGATAAATGGGTGCTGTAAAGGAAATAAAACAAGGACAGGAATAGCAGGAATTGGGAACGTTTGTTAATTAAGGTGACAGGGAGAGCCTCTCTGAGCTTGTAGCCTTTGAGCTGAGACCTGAATGACCGAAGGAGCTGGCTCTTGATCACCTAGGGCAGGGGCACCAGGCCAAAGGAATAGCCCCTGCAAAAGAGGTAATTATAATTGTTTTTTAAAAATTAATTTTATTTTATCAGAAATGTTTTTTTGTTTTTTGGGTTTTTTTGGTACTGGGGATTGAACTGGGACCTTGTGCTTGCAAGGCAGGCGGCGGAACCACTGAGCTAAATCCCTGGACAAAAATTAATTTTATTGGTATATTTTAGATATACATATTGATAACATTCATTATAGGGAATTTATACCTGTACATGATATATCTTGATTCGTCTTTTTTCCCATTCCCCTCTCTTTGCTTCAATTCTTCTTCCCCTTCTTATTTACAAAAGCTTTATTTCTATTTTTTCCTTCTATTCTCTTTTTTTCTTTTCCTTCCTTTTCCCCTCCCCCTCCTTTGTGTCTCTTCCTATTTGAACATTTTCTTCCTATTTCACAATAACTATTATACATTTGGTCCTTTATCTACCCTTTTGGTTTTTCATGCCAGATAAACAATGAAATATATGTATATCTGATTTATTTCACTTAAGAGTATTATCTCATGGTGCATCCATTTACCTAGAAATGTTTTAAGTTTATCCTTCTTTATGGCTGAGTAGTACTCCATTGCATAAAAGAACCTCTTCTTCTTTATCCATTCATTGGTTGATGGACATTTGGGCTGTTTCAAAGAGTTAGCTATTACAAACTGTGCTGCTATAAACATGGGTGTGCATGTGGTATGATGCTTTTTAATTCTTTTGAGAAGAAACCAAGAAGGGAAATAGCTGAGTCAAATGGAACCTCTAGTCCTAGTGTGTTGAGGAATCTCCACAGTGGTTGCACCAGTCTACAGTCTAATGAGTAGTGGATAAGAGTTCTTTTTTCCCCACAGCTTCATCAACATTTGTTATTTGTTGATTTCTTGATAACAACCATTATTTCTGGAGTGAGAAAATGAATTTGCGTATCTTGAACGACCAGGGATGTTGAGCATTTTTAAATATATTTTCTGCTTCTTCATCTGAGAAGTATCTATTCATTTCAGGTCCCCATTTTTGGATTGGGCCTTTAAATTTGGGGGGGATCCTGATTTTTTTGAGTTCTTTATATATTCTACATAGTAGTCCTTTGTCTGAGGAACAGCGGAACAGCTGGCAAAAAAAAATTTTTTTTCCACTGTGTGCATTATCTCTTCACTCTGTTGGTGGTTTCTCTTGCTATGTAAAAGCTTTTTTTCTTTTTTGGTACCAGGGATCAAACTTGGGACCTTGCACTTACACGGCAGGTGCTGGAACCATTGAGCTAAATCCTCAGACCTACAAAAGCTTTTTAATAAGATGAGATACCAGTTGTTGAATCTTTGTGAGTTTCTGTGCAACTGAGGTTTTGTTCATAAAGGCTTTGCCTAAACCAATGTCTTCAAGAGTTCTACCTCTTCTATCTTCTAGCAGATTTCATGTTTCTGTTTTAATAATTAGATCTTTGATCCATTTAGATTTTAGTTTAGTGCGTGCTGAAAGATATGGGTCTAGTTTTAATCTTCAGCAAGTGGAAAGCCAGTTTTTCCAGCACCATTTATTAAAGAGGCTATCATTCTTCCAGGGAAGGTGTTTGGCTCCTTTGTCAAAGATAAGGTGGCTGAGTGTGTTTGGAGTTGTTTCTGTATCTTTTAACCTGTTCCATTGATCCTCAGGTCTTTTTTTTGTTTTGTTTTTGCCAGTACCATGCTGTTTTTAATCACAATAGCTTTGTAGTATAATTTCAAGTCAGGGATTGTGATTCCCCGCCCCCCTCACCTTGCCTCTGTTGCTCAGAACTGCTTTTGCTCTTCTAGGTTTCTTCTGGTTCCAAATGGATTTTAGAATTGTTTTCTCTAATTCTGTGAGATATGCTGTTGGTATTTTGATCAGGATTGCATATAACAATCTGTATAACAATTTTGGAAGTATGGACACTTGCACTATATCAAAGACAAAAACCACATGATCATCTCAATAGATGAAGAAAAAACATTTGACAAAATCTTACACCCATTTATGATTAAAACGCTACAGAAAATTGGAACAGATGGTCTTTATCTCAATCTGATAAAAGCCATCTATGACAAACCAACAGACAACATCATATACATGGTCAAAAGCTGAAAGTTTTCACTCTAAAATCAAGAACAAGACAAGGACGTCCACTATCACCACTCATATTCCAATATAGTTCTGGAAACAGTCAGAGTAATTAGACAAGAGAAAGAAATAAATGGAATAGGTTAGCAAAGGAAGATGTTAAATTATCATTATTTCCAGATGACATGATACTCTACATACAATACTCCCAAAACTCTACTAAAATAATTCTAGATTTAATAGCCAAATTTAGTAGTGTAGCTGGATACAAAGACAGCACTCAAAAATCAATAGCATTCCTGTACACAACAAACTCACTGAGAGAGACATTAGAGAAATCACACCTTTCACAATACTACCCCCAAAAATGAAACACTTAGGAATCAATCTGATGAAGGAAGTAAAAGACCTTTACATTGAATATTACAGTTCTCTGAAACAGGAGATCAAAGAAGATATCAGAAAATGGAAAGATAGCCCTTGTTTTTGGAGTAGAAAGAACCAATATAATTGTTGAAAGAAAAAGAACTTCTTGCTAAGAAAAAGATTAAAAGAAAATGAGACCAAAGAGGTGGAGGTGTGGTAGGTGGCAAGCCACAGGGACCTTCAGGATGTGGTCATTGGTATTTGAAGTGTGACTGGAAACTTTTGCAACTGTCTCCACCCAGTTCTTAGGAGAATTAAGTCCTATGACTCTAAGGTATCATTTCATATAATGAATTAGGTTATCTCCTTTTGTATTAGAGAATGGTATTAGCAAGTATCATCTTGAGAAAACTGAGTCGTTTTCTAAGGGGCTTAGCTCTCTCCCAATTCCCTGAGAAAGCTGTACCAGATAGTAATTAGCAAGAAACTTGAAGAAGTTTCTATCCTCTCTGCACTGTGCTGAGCGGATAGAGTGGGCCCCAAGAAGCAGGAATGGAAGCAGGTGGAGCAGTGAGGATTCTTCATATTGCTCAGATGGGAGAGAGCAGTAGCTTCTCCTGCAGTGGTAGAGAGGTAGCTTATAAGTAATAAAACAGGTGAAAAAGGAGATAAGTAACTCACAGTTTAAAAATTGCACTTTATAAAAAGACTATAACTTCCAGGACTTAGAAGAAGTCACCCAAGACAGATCTGTGCCAACATTCCTTGGCTAGATTCACATTGCTTCTCTACCAGACCCAGCACTAAAAGGTCATAAATTGGCTCAATTAAGAAAATAAGGAATAGGAGCCTAGCCCTGAGATAACAACTGTCCCCAAGTCAACAGCCCTTGGGCAGATTTATACTTCTTCCCTACCAGATCCATCCCTAGAAGGCCATAAATTGGCCCAGTTAAGAGAGTAAATAAATAAAAGTTTGAGCAAGTCCAGAGACTTACTTAATCCTAACCCTAACCTATTTTTTAAAAATGTCCGTGAACTGGCTTTTGCGGGGAGGGATGGGTGGGCACTTTTCCCCTCTAGCTTTTCACCCCCTCTAGAAAAGTATAAATGTACTCAGTTCCAAACTGTAGTGCATCTTATTCTTTGAGTGCCTGCACTCCCATCTTGAGTGCATCCTATACTCTCTGTCTTTGCCTAAAAAACCCTACTGGTGCCTCTTTCTGATGCATCCTGAAAATTATTTTTCTCCGACAAGAGTCAGCAAACCTGCTACAGTGGGGTGAGTTACGTTTAAGAAGCCTGAGTAGCTGGATAATGAGAAGTGAACATATATTTTGGAAACTGGTGCCAACTAAAACCAGTGGGTTCAACGTAGGGAAGAAAAAGAAAGGAAGAAAGGAATCAAGGATGACTACTGAGATTTTGGTCTGAGCAACTGGTTAGATGCCAGTGCTGTGTATGGTGATTTGAATTGTCTCAATGTTGCTGAGTGGCAAGTAAGCCTCCTCTCTCTCTCTCTGCCAAACCCTGGTTATCTCATCTGTAGAATGGGGATATCCATGAAGCAATTTGATGAGACCCATGAAAAGCACAAGTCTGGCTCATGGAAAGCCATTATTATTTTTGTAATCGTTCCTGCCCCACTAGCATCCCGAAGAAGGTAAAAGCATGTGCTTGGAAACCATTCAGACACATCCCTGAGTCTCAGATTCCTCCTCTGCAGGAAGGAATTGTGAGGATTTGGTGAAGTCGTGGATGCCAAGTGCTTAGTACCCAGTGTAGTATGCAATAATTGCTCCATAATCCAGGGCCTAAGTGCTAGAGTAATTCTGTGTGAATGTTTCAGTGAGCAGAATCAAAATAAGCCTGTGTTTTCTTTTGAAACTGTATGTGCTCGTTGGAAATACGTAAATAGCACAGAATTATGTAAAGTCGAAAATGAAAGTTGATCTACCTCCCTCCCCCAACTCTCTAATTAATCAATGCTAATGGCTACATACCCGTTCAGTATTTCACATACATACTGAAGGACCCTAGTTAGCAAGACAAACTCCATATTGCTCCTTGACCCACCTGCCTGTCCTT